ATAGCCAGCAAATTCGGCTTTGGCTACCCTTACGGGCCTAGTCCTTCTGTTTGGAACCATCTGAAAGGCTAGAATTTTGAAAGGCAGGAGATTAATAGTTGAAACCTACCTGTGGCAATTGTTCATACTTTCTTATAGTGTCCTTGATAGAGGGCATGCTCAGCTCTTCTGTTTCATTTGCCAAAACCTGACAGAGAAATTGATAATTGCATGGCAAAATTGACATAGTTAAATTGCGTTATAAATCAAGGTTTCTTGTTTTTGGCTTCATTTGGACAAATGGTTCTCTGATTTAGTAGGTCCAGTACCCCTTGTGTTTTATATCCAATGCAGTATAGGTTCTTGGCAACGAATCGAGAACATCCTATCAAGTGCTATTTCTGGGCTTTCGAAATACCAACAGCGCATGAGATTAGAAACCTTCAAATGGTTGGAAAGAGCAAGCTATGCACTATACGCCGCGAAAAGCTCACGATTTTGACTAAAACTGCTGTGTTTTTTTTTGCGGTATGTTTGCTGGTAAAACTTGATGGCGGAAAAGGTAAATTGTTTGCAATTTCAGTGTGGAATCCGCTTCTAGTGGTAGTTCTAAAGGTATCCAAATAAAGAGAATCGAAGGCAAATACCTTTCGTTCTACACTTTCTATTATTTATAGTGATTTAACTAGTCAAGCAAATAACGTTTTGATCTTGTTTCAAATGGAAATGCTGGGGAACAGAAATGCGCAGAATGAGGATTCAGAAGAAATTTTCTATCAAGTAGCGCTGTGTTCAAATGGTACCATTTACAACCTCTAACGAATGTTTGCAGAAACTACACATTTTCTTACTGCACTTCAATAACAATAAGATTTGGAAAAAAGGCGTATGGAAGTTTAACAACGTGAGAAAATTTATGATACGATTGGAAAAGAAAGCACACTTGTGCAAAATTTTTACCTTATTATAAAGTAATTTTCACTTTGTCTTCACTTACTTTCTTGAGTTTTCTGGATGACATGTGCACT